GTAATTTTGTTAGATTTTTTAAGTTTACTTTGTTTATATTTAATTAATAGTAATTTATATATGAAATTTGTGTTTAGAATTTTTTTTGTGTTGAATGGATGGTGGGGAGAGAGTTGTATTATATATAGATTTAAGTTATTTGTGTGTAATATTATTATTGAGTTTTAAATATATATTATTTTATGTAATTTATAGGGTAAAATTGTGGTGGAGGTTATTTTGTGTGTGTTGTTAATTTAGGGTTTTTTTATGTATTATGGTTGTTATAGATTAAATAGGTAGTTAAAATTTAATAGGTTAAATTAGTAGGTTAAATTATTTAGTTAAATTTGTTAGTTAAATTATAGTTAATTAATTATAGGTAAATTATAGTTAAATTATGAATTAGTTTAGTGTAAATTATATTAAGATGTATGTTAAATATTAGTTTAATTAGTTAGGTAAATGGTATAGTTGAATTAGTAGTTGAATAGTAGGTTAAATTATAGTTTAATTAGTAGTTAATTAGTAGTTTAATTATGTATGTTAAATAGGTAGTTGAATTAGTATGTTAAATTATAGGTTAAATTATAGGTTAATTAAGTTAGTTAAATATAGTTAATTATAGTGTGAATTAAGGTTAAATTATATGTTAATTAGGTATTTTGAATTATATAATTAGTGAGGTGTAAATAGAAGTTAATTATTGATGTTGAATTAGTAGTTAAATTTTTAAATTAATTTAATAATTTAGGGTTATAATTAGAGAGAGGTGATATTTATGAATAGAATATTGTTGAATATAATTTAATAATAATTTTATGATTTGGTTTAAGAAATATTTTTATATATATTGGGTTATTATTGGGTTAGTATGTATATGAGTTGGTATGTATTAGGTTGGTATTATTAGTTTGTTGTATTATATAGGTTGTATTATTAGGTTTGGTATTATTAGTGTATTATTAGGTTGTATATAGGTTGGATTATTATGTTGGTATGTATATAGTTGGGTATGTATTAGTTGGGTATTATTAGGTTGGATTATATAGTTGTTATTATTAGTTTGGTATTATTTTAGTGGGTAATTTATATAGTTGGTATTATTTAGTGGTGTATTATTTAAGTTGGGGTATTATATTGTATTATATAGTTGGGGATATTATTGGTATTATTTAGGTTGTTATTATTATTGGTATTATTTATTTGGTATTAATATTTGTGTTAATGTATTTATGTTTTTTATTTAGGTTTGTATTATAGGTGGTGTATTATTATGTTGTATATTTAGTTGGTATTTATATATGTTGGTTTATTATTTTAGGTTGTATAATTATAGGATGTTTATGTATTAGGTTGGGTATTATTGGTAGGTTGGGTATGTATTGAGGTTGGGTATTATTATTTGGTAATTATAGATAGTGTATTATTTAGGTTGTGTGTATTATAGTTGGGTATTATTGAGTTTGGGTATTATTAGTTGGTTATGTATTTATGTTGGGTATATATGGTTGGGTATTATTTAGGTTGGGTATGTATTTAGGTTGGTAATATATAGTAGGTATTATATAGGTTGGGGTATTATATAGGTTGGTATTATTAGTAGTGGTATGTATTGTAGTTGTGTATGTATGTGAGGAGGTATTATTAGTGGTATTATAATGTGTTATTATTAGTTTGTATTATTAGTGGTATTATATAGTGGGTATTATTAGTTGGTTATTATTGTATGATTTTTATTATATATTTTGGTATTATTTAGTTGGTATGTATTTAAGTTGGTATTTTTGGATTATATAGTTGTATTAATGATGTTGGTTATGTATTTAGTTGGTATGTATTAGTTGATTAATTAGTTGTATATAATAGGTTTGGTATATTTAGGTTGGTATTATTGTAGTGTATTATAGGTTGGGTATTCTTTATGTTGTGATAGTATTATTTAAGTGTGTATATATATGTTGGTATTATTTATTGGGTATTATATATGTGTGTTATTATTAGGTTGGGTATATTAGTTGGTATGTATTATTGGGTATTATTAGTTGGGTATTTAAATTTTGTGTATTATTTATGTGGTATATTGTATTAGGTTGGTATTATTGGAGGTTGGTATTATTAGTTGTATTATTTAGTGTATTTTATGTTGTATTATGTTAGTTGAATTATTAGGTTGGGGTATGTATATAGTTTGGTAAGTATTTAGGTTGTATTATTTATGAAGTGTGGGTATGTATATGTAGGTATTATTGTTGATTTGGTTATTATTAGGTGTTTATTATATATTTGGTTTATTAATGTGTTTGGTATTATGTAGGTGGGTATTAATAGTTGGGTATTATATGTTGTGTATGTATTAAGTTGGTATTATTAGTTGTATGTTTTAAGTTGGTATTTATTGAGGTTGGTATTATTAGTGGTTGGTTATAATATAGGTTGGTTATTATATAGTTTGGTATTATATATTTGGGTATTATTATTGGTATTATAAGTGGGTATTTTGTAGGTGGGTAGTAATAGTTGGTAATTATTAGTTATTTTATTTAGTGGGTATTATATAGGTGTGGTATTATTATGTTATTATTGAGTGTGTTATTATTAATATGGTTTATTGAGTTGGTATTATTAGTTGGTATTATTAGGGTTGGGTATATTAGGTATGTATTTATTGATATATGTATTATTGTATTATTTTTGGTATTATTATTGGATTATAGTTTTGTAAAGAGTGAAGGTTGAGGTTTTTATTAAGTGGTAGATATTTTGTTATGTGTTAGATGTGGTAATTTGGATTGGGGGTATTGATAGAGATGATTTTTGTTTTTGTTTAGGGGTGAGTTGGTTGTGGTGGTGTGGGGGGGGGGTATGTTTGTGATGTTGGGAGGAAGAAATGAATAGGATGTAGATTATATTGAAAATATGTTATTTTTATATGAGAATGTAATTAGAGGATTTTTTTTAAATTTATGCCCCAGGGCAGCTGTGGCTACAGTAGTTTATCACTGCTGTGTTTGGAGAGAGAGGAGAATGTGAAGAGACTTTGAGCGTCTGAAAAACCTTTATAAAACCAATGCATTATTATTATTATTATTACATGTTCACTGTGATGGGTTCTTTTCCACATACTCTGGGTCAGAAAGGGCGTTTTAAGAGGTTTTTAATAAAAATAACTCAGTAAAAAAACAGTGGGTGTCTTCAGGCGAAAAGGATATTTACAGATAAAAATATACGCGACTTCTACAATAAGTCTTTTCCCTCAGCTCTCGCTCCTGCAGTCCACGTTACCTTCTCTGTAGAGTCACAGCTGCCGTGGGACAAGCACACCTTATGTACCCTGCTGGCCCCTCCCACATTACAAATCAATCATCCTAATAACAGACCATATCTACATGCATGAGTGTTTCCCTAGGATCATGTTTACATATGTAGTGATGTCATAACACGTTTAAGATACTGTGGTTAAAGTTCTAACTTTATTCTTACATATGCACGAGCCGGTACTTCTCCACTTGATGTTTTGATTTCTGAAGGCCAAGCTACACCGTGGCAGCTGCTGATTGGAGGTCTCTGTTTCTCCTGAGAATATTATCACTTGCTGTCTAACATTCCTTGTTTGTGTGTTCTTGTTCGTGCTCTACCATCAACAATAAACATGTCTTCTGTCTGAATTAAAGGCACGATCCCAGACTTTGGCTGATTCCTAACACAGAGATTTGCACTTGGGTACAGACCACAGTGGGGGTGGGTCCCGGCTCAAAAGTGTCCAAAATGACGTGCTCTGACATGCTGCAGTATCGCCCCGGGCCTGTGGGGGTGGACCCGGAATAAGAATTAGCCAATGCTAACATATAGCATCTTCTTACCTCTGGAAAACGTCTTTACAGGATGGTCCAAAAGTGTCTCTTGGCCTAAAGCTCCGTTCCACATGTGTGTCAATGCTGAGTGTTCTGGACCAGTCTAGTTTAGTCGCTGTGGACTTTAGAAGTCACTCGTTCAAATGAATGGAGCTGCGCCGGCTGAGGCATGCACAGATGCGTTTTTTCACAATTTTCTTTGTGGGCGGGACCACTCGCGGCCATTTTGGATAGCTCCAGTAGAGCACAATTTTTGGCCCATTAGTTTGAACGGCGGAGATAGGCGTGACTCTGTCCGTTTATATATACAGTCTATGATACATACACAATAAAATACATTTCAAGCTACACAAACATGTTTCAAAACGCACCATGGAGACGCCACGACCACGCCCGCACACAGGCGAGGAATGACACGTGACAAGATGTAACTGCACCGTGCAACGCTTCCAAGCGTGACCTGAAGACGCGTTCACACACGCTACATGTCACATACACAGTCCCTTTGGTAGCAGTAGTCAATGAATGGGTTTGGGTGCGGCGCGCACCCACCATGGCACCCACCATGGCACCCACCATGGCACCCACCATGGCACCCACCATGGCACCCACCATGGCACCGGGCGTGTGCATCCTCACATGCGCTCCGTGGGACAGCGTGCTCAGGGACGGGCTCACCCCGTCACATGCACATTCTGTGGGAAAAAGCAAAATATCTTAAAAAGGTAGAAATGAGGGATTACAAAATACTCTGCGTCACGGTCGACTCTGCCGTGATTTTGAGAAATCTCAAAGGTAGAATAAAGTAACAGCTTATCATAGTATTTTATTTACAATTACAGTTTGAGTAAAACATGAAAGGTTTCCTCAGGTTTGGTTTCTCTCAGAGACAGAACCAAAACGTATCAAACCAGTAAATAATCCCAAAGATTTGAGTTTGATTCTTGAATGTACTTAGTGTTGTTGTTCTTTGGAAAGTCACTCTGTGAAAGTTCAAAACAAACCTCCTCGTGTCTGCGTAAGTTTCCTCCAGGTGCTCCGGTTTCCCTGACCAACCCACAAAAACACAGTAGTGCTGAATGTGACGAGGATCTGGTCTGTCATCACTGTCTGGACTTTGGTAAATGTGCCATATAAATAAATCTGCCTCTGTGGTCCCAGCAGCAGATGGGCGCCGGCGGAGGACCCATGCAGCCGGGACAGGTGCCTCAGAACCAGAACTTCATGACCAGAGCCCCTGGACCTGGCATCCCACATGGCAGCGTCTCACAGGTGACCACATGACCACATGACCACACCATCATGTGTTCGAGACCGGACCATGGTCCTTCTCTCACATGGTTCTGTCCAAAACTCTTCAAATATCTTACATTTTTGTGTTTTTTTTAATTCCCTTGAATGACTCTGGAACCTGCGCCGAGACATTACACTGCAAAACATGATCAAATATGAGGTCCTAAAAGCCTAAAGTGTTTTTGTCTGAATCCGACACATTCTGACCTAAAACAGGACAAACACATTTAGTCTGATTTTAAAACTGTTTATTTTCTGAATCTTTTTAAAACACCATTTTACTTTGTCTCATCAGAGAGTCTGGTTTTAAGTCAGATTAAGACATATTTGAGATTTTACATATTTTTCTCCACTTTTTGCAGTGTATGAAGCATGCTCTGAGCCTGTGTTGATGGTGTCTGAACATAGTTCTTATGCTCTGAGCCTGTGTTGATGGTGTCTGAACATAGTTCTTATGCTCTGAGCCTGTGTTGATGGTGTCTGAACATAGTTCTTATGCTCTGAGCTTGTGTTGATGGTGTCTGAACATAGTTCTTATGCTCTGAGCCTGTGTTGATGGTGTTTGAACATAGTTCTTATGCTCTGAGCTTGTGTTGATGGTGTCTGAACATAGTTCTTATGCTCTGAGCCTGTGTTGATGGTGTCTGAACATAGTTCTTATGCTCTGAGCCTGTGTTGATGGTGTCTGAACATAGTTCTTATGCTCTGAGCTTGTGTTGATGGTGTCTGAACATAGTTCTTATGCTCTGAGCCTGTGTTGATGGTGTCTGAACATAGTTCTTATGCTCTGAGCCTGTGTTGATGGTGTCTGAACATAGTTCTTATGCTCTGAGCCTGTGTTGATGGTGTCTGAACATAGTTCTTATGCTCTGAGCCTGTGTTGATGGTGTCTGAACATAGTTCTTATGCTCTGAGCCTGTGTTGATGGTGTCTGAACATAGTTCTTATGCTCTGAGCCTGTGTTGATGGTGTCTGAACATAGTTCTTATGCTCTGAGCCTGTGTTGATGGTGTCTGAACATAGTTCTTATGCTCTGAGCTTGTGTTGATGGTGTCTGAACATAGTTCTTATGCTCTGAGCCTGTGTTGATGGTGTCTGAACATAGTTCTTATGCTCTGAGCCTGTGTTGATGGTGTCTGAACATAGTTCTTATGCTCTGAGCTTGTGTTGATGGTGTCTGAACATAGTTCTTATGCTCTGAGCCTGTGTTGATGGTGTTTGAACATAGTTCTTATGCTCTGAGCTTGTGTTGATGGTGTCTGAACATAGTTCTTATGCTCTGAGCCTGTGTTGATGGTGTCTGAACATAGTTCTTATGCTCTGAGCCTGTGTTGATGGTGTCTGAACATAGTTCTTATGCTCTGAGCTTGTGTTGATGGTGTCTGAACATAGTTCTTATGCTCTGAGCCTGTGTTGATGGTGTCTGAACATAGTTCTTATGCTCTGAGCCTGTGTTGATGGTGTCTGAACATAGTTCTTATGCTCTGAGCCTGTGTTGATGGTGTCTGAACATAGTTCTTATGCTCTGAGCCTGTGTTGATGGTGTCTGAACATAGTTCTTATGCTCTGAGCCTGTGTTGATGGTGTCTGAACATAGTTCTTATGCTCTGAGCCTGTGTTGATGGTGTCTGAACATAGTTCTTATGCTCTGAGCCTGTGTTGATGGTGTCTGAACATAGTTCTTATGCTCTGAGCTTGTGTTGATGGTGTCTGAACATAGTTCTTATGCTCTGAGCCTGTGTTGATGGTGTCTGAACATAGTTCTTATGCTCTGAGCCTGTGTTGATGGTGTCTGAACATAGTTCTTATGCTCTGAGCCTGTGTTGATGGTGTCTGAACATAGTTCTTATGCTCTGAGCCTGTGTTGATGGTGTCTGAACATAGTTCTTATGCTCTGAGCTTGTGTTGATGGTGTCTGAACATAGTTCTTATGCTCTGAGCCTGTGTTGATGGTGTCTGAACATAGTTCTTATGCTCTGAGCCTGTGTTGATGGTGTCTGAACATAGTTCTTATGCTCTGAGCTTGTGTTGATGGTGTCTGAACATAGTTCTTATGCTCTGAGCCTGTGTTGATGGTGTCTGAACATAGTTCTTATGCTCTGAGCCTGTGTTGATGGTGTCTGAACATAGTTCTTATGCTCTGAGCCTGTGTTGATGGTGTCTGAACATAGTTCTTATGCTCTGAGCCTGTGTTGATGGTGTCTGAACATAGTTCTTATGCTCTGAGCCTGTGTTGATGGTGTCTGAACATAGTTCTTATGCTCTGAGCCTGTGTTGATGGTGTCTGAACATAGTTCTTATGCTCTGAGCTTGTGTTGATGGTGTCTGAACATAGTTCTTATGCTCTGAGCTTGTGTTGATGGTGTCTGAACATAGTTCTTATGCTCTGAGCCTGTGTTGATGGTGTCTGAACATAGTTCTTATGCTCTGAGCCTGTGTTGATGGTGTCTGAACATAGTTCTTATGCTCTGAGCTTGTGTTGATGGTGTCTGAACATAGTTCTTATGCTCTGAGCCTGTGTTGATGGTGTCTGACTACAGTTTTACAGTGTGTTCTACTCATTTCAAACAGACTTATTCTAACACTGCTCTCACCTCTTCTTCCCTGGTGTTATGTGCATGTGGCTGACTCTTCTTCTTCTCCTCCTCCTCCTCCCCCCCCCTCCTCCCCCCCTCTGGCCGGTCCAGTCTGTGGTGGTGGGAATGTCCAATGTGAATCAGGTGGCTCTGATGGAGGAGCAGCAGAGACAGAACAACATGGTGAGGTCCAACACAACAGTCTGGGTTCATACGGGATGGAGCCCTGTGTTTGTCAGGGGTCTCTAGTGTCCCCTAGTGTTCTCTAGTGTCCCCTAGTGTTCTCTAGTGTTCCCTAGTGTTCTCTAGTGTTCCCTAGTGTTCTCTAGTGTTCCCTAGTGTTCTCTAGTGTTCCCTAGTGTTCTCTAGTGTTCTCTAGTGTTCCCTAGTGTTCTCTAGTGTTCCCTAGTGTTCTCTAGTGTTCTCTAGTGTTCTCTAGTGTTCCCTAGTGTTCTCTAGTGTTCTCTAGTGTTCCCTAGTGTTCTCTAGTGTTCTCTAGTGTTCTCTAGTGTCCCCTAGTGTTCTCTAGTGTCCCCTAGTGTTCTCTAGTGTCCCCTAGTGTTCTCTAGTGTCCCCTAGTGTTCTCTAGTGTCCCCTAGTGTTCTCTAGTGTCCCCTAGTGTCTTCTAGTGTCCCCTAGTGTTCTCTAGTGTCCCCTAGTGTTCTCTAGTGTCCCCTAGTGTCCTCTAGTGTCCCCTAGTGTTCTCTAGTGTCCCCTAGTGTTCTCTAGTGTCCCCTAGTGTCCCCTAGTGTCCTCTAGTGTCGACTAGTGTTCTCTAGTGTCCCCTAGTGTTCTCTAATGTCCCCTAGTGTCCCCTAGTGTTCTCTAGTGTCCCCTAGTGTCCTCTAGTGTCCCCTAGTGTCCTCTAGTGTCCCCTAGTGTTCTCTAGTGTCCCCTAGTGTCCTCTAGTGTCCCCTAGTGTTCTCTAGTGTCCCCTAGTGTCCTCTAGTGTCCCCTAGTGTCCTCTAGTGTCCCCTAGTGTCTTCTAGTGTCCCCTAGTGTTCTCTAGTGTCCCCTAGTGTCCCCTAGTGTCCTCTAGTGTCCCCTAGTGTTCTCTAGTGTCCCCTAGTGTCCTCTAGTGTCTTCTAGTGTCCCCTAGTGTTCTCTAGTGTCCCCTAGTGTCCCCTAGTGTCCTCTAGTGTCCCCTTGTGTTCTCTAGTGTCCCCTAGTGTTCTCTAGTGTCCCCTTGTGTCCCCTAGTGTTCTCTAGTGTCCCCTAGTGTCCTCTAGTGTCCCCTAGTGTCTTCTAGTGTCCCCTAGTGTTCTCTAGTGTCCCCTAGTGTCCCCTAGTGTCCTCTAGTGTCCCCTTGTGTTCCCTAGTTTCCCCTTGTGTTCTCTAGTGTCCCCTAGTGTTCTCTAGTGTCCCCTAGTGTCCTCTAGTGTCCCCTAGTGTCTTCTAGTGTCCCCTAGTGTTCTCTAGTGTCCCCTAGTGTCCCCTAGTGTCCTCTAGTGTCCCCTTGTGTTCCCTAGTTTCCCCTTGTGTTCCCTAGTTTCCCCTTGTGTTCTCTAGTGTCCCCTAGTGTTCTCTAGTGTCCCCTAGTGTCCTCTAGTGTCCCCTAGTGTCTTCTAGTGTCCCCTAGTGTTCTCTGGTGTCCCCTAGTGTTCTCTAGTGTCCCCTAGTGTTCTCTAGTGTCCCCTAGTGTCCCCTAGTATCCCCTAGTGTTCTCTAGTGTCCCCTTGTGTCCCCTAGTGTTCTCTAGTGTCCCCTAGTTTTCTCTAGTGTCCCCTAGTGTTCTCTAGTGTCCCCTAGTGTTCTCTAGTGTCCCCTAGTGTTCTCTAGTGTTCTCTAGTGTCCCCTAGTGTTCTCTAGTGTCCCCTAGTGTTCTCTAGTGTTCTCTAGTGTCCCTTAGTGTTCTCTAGTGTTCTCTAGTGTCCCTTAGTGTTCTCTAGTGTCCTCTAGTGTCCCCTAGTGTTCTCTAGTGTCCCCTAGTGTCCCCTAGTGTTCTCTAGTGTCCTCTAGTGTCCCCTAGTGTTCTCTAGTGTCCTCTAGTGTCCCTTAGTGTTCTCTAGTGTTCTCTAGTGTCCCTTAGTGTTCTCTAGTGTCCCCTAGTGTCCCCTAGTGTTCTCTAGTGTCCCCTAGTGTCCCCTAGTGTTCTCTAGTGTCCTCTAGTGTCCCCTAGTGTCCTCTAGTGTCCCCTAGTGTTCTCTAGTGTCCCCTAGTGTTCTCTAGTGTCCCCTAGTGTTCTCTAGTGTCCCCTAGTGTTCTCTAGTGTGCTCTAGTGTTCTCTAGTGTCCCCTAGTGTCCCCTAGTGTCCTCTAGTGTCCCCTAGTGTCTTCTAGTGTCCCCTAGTGTTCTCTAGTGTCCCCTAGTGTTCTCTAGTGTCCCCTAGTGTCTTCTAGTGTCCCCTAGTGTTCTCTAGTGTCCCCTAGTGTTCTCTAGTGTCCCCTAGTGTCCTCTAGTGTCCCCTAGTGTTCTCTAGTGTCCCCTAGTGTTCTCTAGTGTCCCCTAGTGTCCCCTAGTGTTCTCTAGTGTCCCCTAGTGTCCTCTAGTGTCCCCTAGTGTTCTCTAGTGTCCCCTAGTGTTCTCTAGTGTCCCCTAGTGTCCTCTAGTGTCGACTAGTGTTCTCTAGTGTCCCCTAGTGTTCTGTAGTGTCCCTTAGTGTCCCCTAGTGTTCTGTAGTGGCATGTTTTTAACTGATTCTTCTTTAACATGCCTAAAACCACACACTATGTACATACATACATGTGTGTACATACATACATGTGTGTACATACATGTATGTACATACATGTATGTACATACATGTATGTACATGTACATACATGTATGTACATGTATGTACATGTACATACATGTATGAACTCCAGGACACGGGTTTGTGTTTACATGTACTCTAAAGCTCACCGCACACCGAAACGCAGCGCCTCGCGGCGCGTCATTTGACGCGCGTTCATGACATGTGTCAAATTACACCGGAACGCCTTGGCTAGCGTCCTTTTCCAGCTGATCGCAGATGAAATGGGTGAGTGACGTTTGGAAGTTTCTACTAATATTTTGGGGGAGGAAACAAAGTATTTACGTGAAATTATGCTGGCAAATATTACAAGAAAAGACTATTTGGACCCATTTTTTAAACAGGCTAATAACTAGCTCTGGGTAACGCTGTACTTGGGTTATCAAGCTTTCCTCGTCCATTGTGACCGGTTTACTTGAGCAATAGCGCCGACAAGTGTGTAAATTTGAGACCGCGCTCACAGCTACGTGATAAGAAGCGCAGAAGAAGAAAACTACGGGTGCTTGGAGGGACAGTTTCAGCCGCGGCGCCGCGTCTGGATTCAACAAAACTGAATCGTGGCGCCCGGTCCAGCGTCGCCGCGCGTCACTGCAACCTTGGTGTGCGTTCTCTCATAGAAAATAAAGGAGGCGGCTCTTTTGCCGCGCGTCAAGGCGTTTCGGTGTGCGTTGGGCTTTAGACTCCGCGGGGACGTTGTGTGGACCAGCTTTGGTCTCAGTGTGTGATTGTGTTGTTGCCGTACTTCTTCTTCAGATGGCAATGCGAGCGACAGGTCCGGCCAATCAGCAACCTCCGGTCAGTGGTGCCCCGCCCACTCAGGGAGGTCAGAACCAATCCCAGGGACAGATCCTGCGCCTGTCCAACCCAGGGGCCAATCCACAGTTGCGCAGCCTCCTGCTGAGTCAGCAGCAGCCGGTAAGAGCCACAGTCACATGGTATCCATGGTATCCATGGTATCCTTGGTATCCATGGTTCAACGTTCACGCCATCGCTGGTTGTGCTTTTTTTTACACTGTCATTCTCATTTGTCGCCTGTTTTATCCGACAACATAAAACTACTACTTTTATTTACAGTCTCTCTCTCTGGTCTCTCTCTCTCTCTCTGGTCTCTCTCTCTCTCTGGTCTCTCTCTCTCTGTGGTCTCTCTCTCTGGTCTCTCTCTCTGGTCTCTCTCTGGTCTCTCTCTCTGGTCTTTCTCTGGTCTCTCTCTCTGGTCTCTCTCTGGTCTCTCTCTCTGGTCTCTCTCTGGTCTCTCTCTGGTCTCTCTCTGGTCTCTCTCTGGTCTCTCTCTGGTCTCTCTCTGGTCTCTCTCTCTGGTCTCTCTCTCTCTGGTCTCTCTCTCTGGTCTCTCTCTCTGGTCTCTCTCTGGTCTCTCTCTCTCTGGTCTCTCTCTCTGGTCTCTCTCTCTGGTCTCTCTCTCTCTCTGGTCTCTCTCTGGTCTCTCTCTCTGGTCTCTCTCTCTCTGGTCTCTCTCTGGTCTCTCTCTCTCTGGTCTCTCTCTGGTCTCTCTCTCTCTGGTCTCTCTCTCTCTGGTCTCTCTCTCTCTCTGGTCTCTCTCTCTGGTCTCTCTCTGGTCTCTCTATCTGGTCTCTCTCTCTCTGGTCTCTCTCTCTCTGGTCTCTCTCTGGTCTCTCTCTCTCTGGTCTCTCTCTCTCTGGTCTCTCTCTCTCTCTGGTCTCTCTCTCTCTCTGGTCTCTCTCTCTCTCTGGTCTCTCTCTCTGGTCTCTCTCTGGTCTCTCTCTCTGGTCTCTCTCTCTGGTCCCTCTCTGGTCTCTCTCTCTGGTCTTTCTCTGGTTTCTCTCTCTGGTCTCTCTATCTGGTCTCTCTCTCTCTGGTCTCTCTCTCTCTGGTCTCTCTCTGGTCTCTCTCTCTCTGGTCTCTCTCTCTCTGGTCTCTCTCTCTCTCTGGTCTCTCTCTCTCTCTGGTCTCTCTCTCTCTCTGGTCTCTCTCTCTGGTCTCTCTCTGGTCTCTCTCTCTGGTCTCTCTCTCTGGTCCCTCTCTGGTCTCTCTCTCTGGTCTTTCTCTGGTTTCTCTCTCTGGTCTCTCTCTGGTCTCTCTCTGGTCTCTCTCTGGTCTCTCTCTGGTCTCTCTCTGGTCTCTCTCTGGTCTCTCTCTCTGGTCTCTCTCTGGTCTCTCTCTCTGGTCTCTCTCTGGTCTCTCTCTCTGGTCTCTCTCTGGTCTCTCTCTGGTCTCTCTCTCTGGTCTCTCTCTGGTCTCTCTCTGGTCTCTCTCTCTCTGGTCTCTCTCTCTCTGGTCTCTCTCTGGTCTCTCTCTGGTCTCTCTCTCTGGTCTCTCTCTCTGGTCTCTCTCTGGTCTCTCTCTGGTCTCTCTCTCTGGTCTCTCTCTCTCTGGTCTCTCTCTCTCTGGTCTCTCTCTGGTCTCTCTCTCTCTGGTCTCTCTCTCTGGTCTCTCTCTGGTCTCTCTCTCTCTGGTCTCTCTCTCTGGTCTCTCTCTGGTCTCTCTCTCTCTGGTCTCTCTCTCTCTGGTCTCTCTCTGGTCTCTCTCTTGCAGCAGGGTGGGATGTCGCACATGTCGGGGATGATGTCGCACCAGGGGATGGGGCAGCAGCTGGTCCACCCCACACCAGGAGGGGGCGCTGCGATGCAGGGCCAGTGGAGGCAGCCCTTAGGAGGTCAGTGAGCTCCTAGACCCAGAGCACAGGGCCTTCACCTGCTCCTCCCCCATCTCACCTCCTCACCTCCTCCTCCTCCCCCCCTCTCCCCGTCATCACCTCCTCCTCCACCTCCTCCCCCTCTCCACCTCCTCCCCCTCTCCACCTCCTCCTCCTCCCCTCTCCTCCTCCTCCCCTCTCCTCCTCCTCCCCTCTCCTCCTCCTCCCCTCTCCACCTCCTCCCCCCTCTCCCCTCCTCCACCTCCTCCCCCTCTCCACCTCCTCCCCCTCTCCACCTCCTCCTCCCCTCTCCACCTCCTCCCCCTCTCCTCCTCCTCCCCCTCTCCACCTTCCCCCTCTCCACCTCCTCCTCCTCCTCCCCCTCTCCACCTCCTCCCCTCTCCACCTCCTCCCCTCTCCACCTCCTCCCCTCTCCACCTCCTCCCCCTCCCCCTCTCCTCCTCCTCCCCCTCTCCACCTTCCCCCCTCTCCACCTCCTCCTCCTCCTCCCCCTCTCCACCTCCTCCCCTCTCCACCTCCTCCCCCTCTCCACCACCTCCTCCCCCTCTCCACCTCCTCCCCCTCTCCACCTCCTCCTCCTCCCCCTCTTCTCCTCCTCCCCCTCTCCACCTCCTCCCCCTCTCCACCTCGTCCCCCTCTCCACCTCCTCCTCCTCATCCCCCTCTCCTCCTCCTCCTCCCCCTCTCCACCTCCTCCCCTCTCCACCTCCTCCCCTCTCCACCTCCTCCCCCTCTCCACCTCCTCCCCTCTCCACCTCCTCCTCCTCCTCCCCCTCTCCACCTCCTCCCCCTCTCCTCCTCCTCCCCTCTCCACCTCCTCCCCCTCCCCCTCTCCACCTCCTCCCCCTCTCCACCACCTCCTCCTCCTCCCCCTCTCCACCTCGTCCCCCTCTCCACCTCCTCCTCCTCATCCCCCTCTCCTCCTCCTCCCCTCTCCACCTCCTCCCCTCTCCACCTCCTCCTCCCCCTCTCCACCTCCTCCCCCTCTCCTCCTCCTCCCCCTCTCCACCTCCTCCCCCTCCCCCTCTCCACCTCCTCCCCCTCTCCACCACCTCCTCCTCCTCCCCCTCTCCACCTCGTCCCCCTCTCCACCTCCTCCTCCTCATCCCCCTCTCCTCCTCCTCCCCTCTCCACCTCCTCCCCTCTCCACCTCCTCCTCCTCCTCCCCCTCTCCACCTCCTCCCCCTCTCCTCCTCCTCCCCCTCTCCACCTCCTCCCCCTCCCCCTCTCCACCTCCTCCCCCTCTCCACCTCCTCCCCCTCTCCTCCTCCACCTCCTCCCCCTCTCCACCTCCTCCCCCTCTCCACCTCCTCCCCTCTCCACCTCCTCCTCCTCCTCCCCCTCTCCACCTCCTCCTCACCTCCTCCTCCTCCCCCTCTCCACCTCCTCCCCCTCCCCCTCTCCACCTCCTCCCCCTCTCCACCACCTCCTCCTCCTCCCCCTCTCCACCTCGTCCCCCTCTCCACCTCCTCCTCCTCATCCCCCTCTCCTCCTCCTCCCCTCTCCACCTCCTCCCCTCTCCACCTCCTCCCCTCTCCACCTCCTCCTCCTCCTCCCCCTCTCCACCTCCTCCCCCTCTCCTCCTCCTCCCCCTCTCCACCTCCTCCCCCTCCCCCTCTCCACCTCCTCCCCCTCTCCACCACCTCCTCCCCCTCTCCACCTCCTCCCCCTCTCCTCCACCTCCTCCCCCTCTCCTCCACCTCCTCCCCCTCTCCACCTCCTCCCCCTCTCCACCTCCTCCCCCTCTCCACCTCCTCCCCTCTCCACCTCCTCCTCCTCTCCTCCACCTCCTCCCCCTCTCCACTCCTCCTCCTCCTCCTCCCCCTCTCCACCTCCTCCCCCTCTCCACCTCCTCCTCACCTCCTTCTCCTCTTGTGTCCTCAGGTCAGATGATGATGTCTGGACAGAGAGGAGCGGTGCCTCAGCCTGGGATGCCTCAGGTCTCCAGTGTCATGGAGGACGAGATCCTCATGGACCTGATCTGAACCAAGACCAGGACCAGGACCTGGACCTGAACCAGGACCTGAACCAGAGACTTCATCATGGACCGGACCTGAAGCAGAGTCCGGACCATGGACCACACAGACTCTCAAACCACAGGTCGACAGGACGTTTGTGCAGCTTTGATTTAAATAAACAGAGCTGTTTTTCAAAGTCTGGTGTTGAAATGTCTTAAAGCTCAGAAACCTAAGTTTCAGACCACGACAACTTCAACTGTGTCTCATCGAACCGGTTCCTCTCGGTCCATGGTTTATTAGATTCATGAGTGATCTGCTTCTGTCGCATGTTCGGACCATGTGACCCTCTCTCTGGACCAGTCTGCACCAGTCTGGACCAGTCTGCACCAGTCTGGACCAGTCTGAACCAGTCTGCAACAGTCTGCACCAGTCTGCACCAGTCTGCACCAGTCTGAACCAGTCTGAACCAGTCTGCAACAGTCTGCACCAGTCTGCACCAGTCTGAACCAGTCTGCACCAGTCTGCACCAGTCTGCACCAGTCTGCACCAGTCTGCACCAGTCTGCACCAGTCTGCACCAGTCTGCACCAGTCTGCACCAGTCTGCACCAGTCTGAACCAGTCTGAACCAGTCTGAACCAGTCTGCACCAGTCTGCACCAGTCTGCACCAGTCTGCACCAGTCTGCACCAGTCTGAACCAGTCTGCACCAGTCTGGGCCAGTCTGGACGAGTCTGAACCAGTCTGGGCCAGTCTGGGCCAGTCCGGGCCAGTCCGGACCAGGGATGTAAAAATCTATGAATTTTCATGACCGACCACCGAGCCTCATTAACTGGTTGAAACCGGTTAAATAACTGCGTAGTTTAAATTATCCCACGTTCTTTGAAATAACAGCCATTTTGAGTCGTGTACTTCTCATAAGTGCAGCTCTGAGTTCTACTGGATCAGAACCGAGACAGCGGCGCCAAAACCAGCAACGGCTTCAGCTCCTTTGAGCACTGCTGTTTTAATCTCCCCGTTCTGCTGTGCAGCGAGTGACGTCCACATGGTCAGAGCAGAGAGTGACGTCCACATGGTCAGAGCTGCGAGTGACGTCCACATGGTCAGAGCAGCGTGACGTTCACATGGTCAGAGCAGAGAGTGACGTCCACATGGTCAGAGCAGCGAGTGACGTCCACATGGTCAGAGCAGAGAGTGACGTCCACATGGTCAGAGCAGAGAGTGACGTCCACATGGTCAGAGCAGAGAGTGACGTCCACATGGTCAGAGCTGCGAGTGACGTCCACATGGTCAGAGCAGCGAGTGACGTCCACATGGTCAGAGCAGCGTGACGTCCACATGGTCAGAGCAGAGTGACCTCCACATGGTCAGAGCAGAGTGACGTCCACATGGTCAGAGCAGAGAGTGACGTCCACATGGTCAGAGCTGCGAGTGACGTCCACATGGTCAGAGCAGAGAGTGACGTTCACATGGTCAGAGCAGAGAGTGACGTCCACATGGTCAGAGCAGAGAGTGACGTCCACATGGTCAGAGCAGAGAGTGACGTCCACATGGTCAGAGCAGAGAGTGACGTCCACATGGTCAGAGCAGAGAGTGACGTCCACATGGTCAGAGCAGAGAGTGACGTCCACATGGTCAGAGCAGAGAGTGACGTCCACATGGTCAGAGCAGAGAGTGACGTCCACATGGTCAGAGCAGAGAGTGACGTCCACATGGTCAGAGCAGAGAGTGACGTCCACATGGTCAGAGCAGAGAGTGACGTCCACATGGTCAGAGCAGAGAGTGACGTCCACATGGTCAGAGCAGAGTGACGTCCACATGGTCAGAGCAGAGTGACGTCCACATGGTCAGAGCAGAGTGACGTCCACATGGTCAGAGCTGCGAGTGACGTCCACATGGTCAGAGCAGAGAGTGACGTCCACATGGTCAGAGCAGAGAGTGACGTCCACATGGTCAAGAGCAGTGAGTGACGTGACTCCACATGGTCAGAGCAGAGAGTGACGTCCACATGGTCAGGCAGAGAGTGACGTCCACATGGTCAGAGCAGAGAGTGACGTCCACATGGTCAGAGCAGAGAGTGACGTCCACATGGTCAGAGCAGAGAGTGACGTCCACATGGTCAGAGCAGAGAGTGACGTCCACATGGTCAGAGCAGAGAGTGACGTCCACATGGTCAGAGCAGAGAGTGACGTCCACATGGTCAGAGCAGAGAGTGACGTCCACATGGTCAGAGCAGAGAGTGACGTCCACATGGTCAGAGCAGAGAGTGACGTCCACATGGTCAGAGCAGAGAGTGACGTCCACATGGTCAGAGCAGAGATGACGTCCACATGGTCAGAGCAGAGAGTGACGTCCACATGGTCAGAGCAGAGTGACGTCCACATGGTCAGAGCAGAGTGACGTCCACATGGTCAGAGCAGAGAGTGACGTCCACATGGTCAGAGCAGAGAGTGACGTCCACATGGTCAGAGCAGAGAGTGACGTCCACATGGTCAGAGCAGAGAGTGACGTCCACATGGTCAGAGCAGAGAGTGACGTCCACATGGTCAGAGCAGAGAGTGACGTCCACATGGTCAGAGCAGAGAGTGACGTCCACATGGTCAGAGCAGAGAGTGACGTCCACATGGTCAGAGCAGAGAGTGACGTCCACATGGTCAGAGCAGAGAGTGACGTTCACATGGTCAGAGCAGAGAGTGACGTCCACATGGTCAGAGCAGAGAGTGACGTCCACATGGTCAGAGCAGAGAGTGACGTCCACATGGTCAGAGCAGAGAGTGACGTCCACATGGTCAGAGCAGAGAGTGACGTTCACATGGTCAGAGCAGAGAGTGACGTCCACATGGTCAGAGCTGCGAGTGACGTCCACATGGTCAGAGCAGCGAGTGACGTTCACATGGTCAGAGCAGAGAGTGACGTCCACATGGTCAGAGCAGAGTGACGTCCACATGGTCAGAGCAGAGAGTGACGTCCACATGGTCAGAGCAGAGAGTGACGTCCACATGGTCAGAGCAGAGAGTGACGTCCACATGGTCAGAGCAGAGAGTGACGTCCACATGGTCAGAGCAGAGAGTGACGTCCACATGGTCAGAGCAGCGTGACGTCCACATGGTCAGAGCAGAGTGACGTCCACATGGTCAGAGCAGCGAGTGACGTCCACATGGTCAGAGCAGCGTGACGTCCACATGGTCAGAGCAGAGTGACCTCCACATGGTCAGAGCAGAGTGACGTCCACATGGTCAGAGCTGCGAGTGACGTCCACATGGTCAGAGCAGAGAGTGACGTCCACATGGTCAGAGCAGAGAGTGACGTCCACATGGTCAGAGCTGCGAGTGACGTCCACATGGTCAGAGCAGAGAGTGACGTTCACATGGTCAGAGCAGAGAGTGACGTCCACATGGTCAGAGCAGCGAGTGACGTTCACATGGTCAGAGCAGAGTGACGTCCACATGGTCAGAGCAGCGAGTGACGTCCACATGGTCAGAGCAGAGTGACGTCCACATGGTCAGAGCAGAGAGTGACGTCCACATGGTCAGAGCAGAGAGTGACGTCCACATGGTCAGAGCAGAGAGTGACGTCCACATGGTCAGAGCAGAGAGTGACGTCCACATGGTCAGAGCAGAGAGTGACGTCCACATGGTCAGAGCAGAGAGTGACGTCCACATGGTCAGAGCAGAGAGTGACGTCCACATGGTCAGAGCAGAGAGTGACGTCCACATGGTCAGAGCTGCGAGTGACGTCCACATGGTCAGAGCAGAGAGTGACGTTCACATGGTCAGAGCAGAGAGTGACGTCCACATGGTCAGAGCAGAGCGTGACGTCCACATGGTCAGAGCAGAGTGACGTCCACATGGTCAGAGCAGAGTGACGTCCACATGGTCAGAGCAGAGCGTGACGTCCACATGGTCAGAGCAGAGTGACGTCCACATGGTCAGAGCAGAGAGTGACGTCCACATGGTCAGAGCAGAGTGACGTCCACATGGTCAGAGCAGAGTGACGTCCACATGGTCAGAGCAGAGCGTGACGTCCACATGGTCAGAGCAGAGTGACGTCCACATGGTCAGAGCAGAGTGACGTCCACATGGTCAGAGCAGAGTGACGTCCACATGGTCAAGCAGAGTGACGTCCACATGGTCAGAGCAGAGAGTGACGTCCACATGGTCAGAGCAGAGAGTGACGTCCACATGGTCAGAGCAGAGAGTGACGTCCACATGGTCAGAGCAGAGAGTGACGTCCACATGGTCAGAGCAGAGAGTGACGTCCACATGGTCAGAGCAGAGAGTGACGTCCACATGGTCAGAGCAGCGAGTGACGTCCACATGGTCAGAGCAGAGTGACGTCCACATGGTCAGAGCAGCGAGTGACGTCCACATGGTCAGAGCAGAGTGACGTCCACATGGTCAGAGCAGCGAGTGACGTCCACATGGTCAGAGCAGAGTGACGTCCACATGGTCAGAGCAGCGAGTGACGTCCACATGGTCAGAGCAGAGTGACGTCCACATGGTCAGAGCAGAGTGACGTCCACATGGTCAGAGCAGCAGAGTGACGTCCACATGGTCAGAGCAGCGAGTGACGTCCACATGGTCAGAGCAGAGTGACGTCCACATGGTCAGAGCAGAGTGACGTCCACATGGTCAGAGCAGAGTGACGTCCACATGGTCAGAGCAGAGTGACGTCCACATGGTCAGAGCAGCGAGTGACGTCCACATGGTCAGAGCAGAGTGACGTCCACATGGTCAGAGCAGCGAGTGACGTCCACATGGTCAGAGCAGAGTGACGTCCACATGGTCAGAGCAGAGTGACGTCCACATGGTCAGAGCAGAGTGACGTCCACATGGTCTACGCTAAAGTTTAAAGTAGTACTAGATTTAATGTACTGCTATCCAGAATATATAACTACAGTATGTACGGGATAATGTATATTACATTGGTTATTATCGAAAAATAAGGACCGACAGCGCATCGGGGTCTGCTTCGCTCTGAAGGTACTTATTTTAATTTTTTTAATTTTAATTTTTTATTATAGGGCTTTATACCAACAGAACACACAACATAAACTTCAGTCCACTTTTAGGAATGCCGAAATGTTTATTTAATGACAGAAAATAAAATAGTTCCCAAAGGCTTTCCCGTGGCTATGCTAGCAACGGTTAGGCTAGCAACGGTTAGGCTAGCAACAGTTAGGCTAGCAACAGTTAGGCTAGCAACAGTTAGGCTAGCAACAGTTAGGCTAGCAACAGTTAGGCTAGCAACAGTTAGGCTAACAACAGTTAGGCTAGCAACAGTTAGGCTAGCAACAGTTAGGCTAGCAACAGTTAGGCTAGCAACAGTTAGGCTAGCAACAGTTAGGCTAGCAACAGTTAGGCTAGCAACAGTTAGGCTAGCAACAGTTAGGCTAGCAACAGTTAGGCTAGCAACAGTTAGGCTAGCAACAGTTAGGCTAGCAACAGTTAGCAACAGTTAGGCTAGCAACAGTTAGGCTAGCAACAGTTAGGCTAGCAACAGTTAGGCTAGCAACAGTTAGGCTAGCAACAGTTAGGCTAACAACAGTTAGGCTAGCAACAGTTAGGCTAGCAACAGTTAGGCTAGCAACAGTTAGGCTAGCAACAGTTAGGCTAACAACAGTTAGGCTAGCAACAGTTAGGCTAGCAACAAGTTAGGCTAGCAACAGTTAGGCTAGTAACAGTTAGGCTAATAACAGTTAGGCTAGCAACAGTTAGGCTAGCAACAGTTAGGCTAGCAACAGTTAGGCTAGTGACAGTTAGGCTAGTAACAGTTAGGCTAGCAACAGTTAGGCTAGCAACAGTTAGGCTAGTGACAGTTAGGCTAGTAACAGTTAGGCTAGCAACAGTTAGGCTAGCAACAGTTAGGCTAGCAACAGTTAGGCTAGTAACAGTTAGGCTAGCAACAGTTAGGCTAGCAACAGTTAGGCTAGTAACAGTTAGGCTAGTAACAGCTAGGCTAGCAACAGTTATGCTAACAACAGTTATGCTAGCAACAGTTAGGCTAGCAACAGTTAGGCTAGCAACAGTTAGGCTAGCAACAGTTAGGCTAGCAACAGTTAGGCTAGCAACAGTTAGGCTAGCAACAGTTAGGCTAGCAACAGTTAGGCTAGCAACAGTTAGGCTAGCAACAGTTAGGCTAGCAACAGTTAGGCTAGCAACAGTTAGGCTAGCAACAGTTAGGCTAGCAACAGTTAGGCTAGCAACAGTTAGGCTAGCAACAGTTAGGCTAGTAACAGTTAGGCTAGTAACAGTTAGGCTAGTAACAGTTAGGCTAGCAACAGTTATGCTAGCAACAGTTAGGCTAGCAACAGTTAGGCTAGCGACAGTTAGGCTAGCAACAGTTAGGCTAGTGACAGTTAGGCTAGCAACAGTTAGGCTAGTAACAGTTAGGCTAGCAACAGTTAGGCTAGTAACAGTTAGGCTAGCAACAGTTAGGCTAGTAACAGTTAGGCTAGTAACAGTTAGGCTAACAACAGTTAGGCTAGCAACAGTTAGGCTAGCAACAGTTAGGCTAGCAACAGTTAGGCTAGTGACAGTTAGGCTAGCAACAGTTAGGCTAGTAACAGTTAGGCTAGCAACAGTTAGGCTAGTAACAGTTAGGCTAGTGACAGTTAGGCTAGCAACAGTTAGGCTAGTAACAGTTATGCTAGCAACAGTTAGGCTAGCAACAGTTAGGCTAGCAACAGTTAGGCTAGCAACAGTTAGGCTAGTAACAGTTAGGCTAGCAACAGTTAGGCTAGCAACAGTTAGGCTAGCAACAGTTAGGCTAGCAACAGTTAGGCTAGTAACAGTTAGGCTAGTAACAGTTAGGCTAGCAACAGTTAGGCTAGTAACAGTTAGGCTAGCAACAGTTAGGCTAGCAACAGTTAGGCTAGCAACAGTTAGGCTAGCGACAGTTAGGCTAGTGACAGTTAGGCTAGTGACAGTTAGGCTAGCAACAGTTAGGCTAGCAACAGTTAGGCTAGCAACAGTTATGCTAACAACAGTTAGGCTAGCAACAGTTAGGCTAGTAACAGTTAGGCTAGTAACAGTTAGGCTAGCAACAGTTAGGCTAGTAACAGTTAGGCTAGCAACAGTTAGGCTAGCAACAGTTAGGCTAGCAACAGTTAGGTAGCGACAGTTAGGCTAGTGACAGTTAGGCTAGTGACAGTTAGGCTAGCAACAGTTAGGCTAGTAACAGTTAGGCTAGCAACAGTTAGGCTAGCAACAGTTAGGCTAGCAACAGTTATGCTAGCAACAGTTAGGCTAGCAACAGTTAGGCTAGCAACAGTTAGGCTAGCAACAGTTAGGCTAGCAACAGTTAGGCTAGTAACAGTTAGGCTAGCAACAGTTAGGCTAGCAACAGTTAGGCTAGCAACAGTTAGGCTAGCAACAGTTATGCTAGCAACAGTTAGGCTAGCAACAGTTAGGCTAACAACAGTTAGGCTAGCAACAGTTAGGCTAGCAACAGTTATGCTAGCAACAGTTAGGCTAGTAACAGTTAGGCTAGCAACAGTTAGGCTAGCAACAGTTAGGCTAGCAACAGTTAGGCTAGCAACAGTTAGGCTAGCAACAGTTAGGCTAGCAACAGTTAGGCTAACAACAGTTAGGCTAGCAACAGTTAGGCTAGTAACAGTTAGGCTAGCAACAGTTAGGCTAGCAACAGTTAGGCTAGTAACAGTTAGGCTAGTAACAGTTAGGCTAGCAACAGTTAGGCTAGCAACAGTTAGGCTAGCAACAGTTAGGCTAGCAACAGTTAGGCTAGTAACAGTTAGGCTAGCAACAGTTAGGCTAGCAACAGTTAGGCTAGCAACAGTTAGGCTAGTGACAGTTAGGCTAGCAACAGTTAGGCTAGCAACAGTTAGGCTAGTATCAGTTAGGCTAGCAACAGTTAGGCTAGCAACAGTTAGGCTAACAACAGTTAGGCTAGCAACAGTTAGGCTAGCAACAGTTAGGCTAGCAACAGTTAGGCTAGCAACAGTTAGGCTAGTAACAGTTATGCTAGTAACAGTTAGGCTAGTAACAGTTAGGCTAGCAACAGTTAGGCTAGCAACAGTTAGGCTAACAACTTCCAAACTAGAACTCTCTGGAACTGCATGAAAACTGAACACAGAATCCTGAACATCAGCGGTGAGTGACCCAAACATAAACTTAACCTAAATCCATAATTCCATCCTCTGCAAATGTTCCTAAAATGTGCCGTATCTACTTCCGGGTTTTTCACCATCGCCTTTTCTCGCATTGCATCAGTGTTTTTGTCTGAAAACGTAAACGGTAGAATGTATAAGTATAAAGTATTCTCTGATTAACATTTAAGTGTTGATTGAGCGTGGCGAGCTCCGGAGTGGCCGGAACTACTGTCGGAGTTATCCACACATCTGAAAGACAAGCAGAGAGTGCGTTGCCAAAGGGCAGCGGTCATTATTGTTTTGAGACGTCCGTTATAGAAAATAATGACCGGTAGAACGTTTGAAATGACGTTCACATCAATGGTTCTGCTGCTGCTGTGAGGAGCTGTGATAAGTGTTTATAATATTTCAGGTGTTCATTTTGACATGTTCAGATGAATTATGTTAAAAAACGTTTTTGAAGTGGCACCTTTTCACTTCCGCATAGAAACGCTAGGGGGCGCCAAAATGTCGGCGATGACGTAGGAGAAGGACCTCTCACAGCAGCAGCAGCAGTCTGGGCTGACTCTGTAGGAGGTTTCACTGTCATCTGAACAAGGTATAAACATATTTACATCAGTTTGTACATAATAGTGCGCAACTCTTTTAACCTTTTAGCCTTATTTGTGAGATTCAAGCTAATTAGTGTTGGGCAAGTTAGCTAACTCTACTTGATATCATAAAACATGCTAACAAGGCTAATATTCGTTTTTACATTATGCCAGTCTCACTTTGCCTTAGATTTATTTACCACAATGTACTTTGTAATATCCATAAATGCTAACACCTATTAACGGTTTAATTAACATTTTTATCAATGATTGCATCACATGTAGTCTATGTTTTCAACTTCTGCAGCTTTTTGTTCATAAAAGTAAAATATTTATTTCATTCCAGTTATTTTGATTAGCATTTATGGATATTACAATGTACATTGGCGGCACGATGGCTGAGTGGAGTTTGCATATTCTCCCCGTGTCTGCGTAGGTTTCCTCCGGGTACTCCGGTTTCCTCTACCACTAAAAATATGTACAATAGGTCTGTGCCTCCTGTACTGGCCCCGCTCCCATCTCTGTGTGGAGTGAGAGACAAATACCCAAATATTTTATGAGATTGAGTGAAGTATAGAATAGTTTGAACTCATTCCTCCAATGAATGTAGTTTGGGATGGTTTTAAAAAAACGG